GTATTCTTGGCTGCATGTTCTTCTCGTTTAGTATCCTGAATATGTCTTCCCAGGCCTTTCTGGCTTGCCAGGTCTCTGTGGATAGGTCTGATGTTATTCTGATGTTCCTCCCTCTGTATGTAAGGAATCTCTTCCCCTTAACTGCCCTTAAGATGTGTTTCCTTGGTTCTAAGATTTGTGAGTTTTACTATTACATGCCGGGGCGTTGGCCTATTTTCCTTCATCTTAGGAGCGGTCCTCTCTGCCTCTAGGACACAAATGTTTGTTTCATTCCCCAGATTAGGGAAGTTCTCAGCTACAATTTGCTCAGATATATCTTCTAGTCCTCTCTCTCTCTCTCCACCCCCTCAGGGATCCCAATAATTCTGACATTGGAACGTTTCATGGTGTCACTTATTTCTGATCCTTTTTTCATGGATTTTGAGTTGTTTTTCCCTCACCTCCTCTTTATCCTTCTTTTCTATCAACTGGTCTTCTAGATCACTAATTCGTTCTTCTGCCTCGCTTACCCTAGCTGTTACATCATCTAGATTAGATTGGATCTCATTGATAGCATTTTTAAGTTCTGCCAGTTCAGCTTTCATTTCTGCCCTTAGAGACTCTGTTGCCTTTAATCAATTTCTCCATTCTAGCTATTGTCTTCACAAATGCTACCCTGAATTCCATTTCCGACACCTTGGTTATATCTGTATCCATTTGTAAATCTGTGACAGAAGTCACAGTCTCTGAGTCTTTCCTATTTTGGGGGTTCCTCCTTCTAGTCATTTTGTTGAGGGGTGGTTGAGGGAATGTACAGAGTCCAAATTATTGACCACAACCCAAGCAAGATGCACCTGTTTTATAGGGACCTTAGGGTTGCAAGCCTCTTGTTCTCCCAGCCTGTCTTCTGGGGGAGAGGCCTGCTGCACTGTTTGGGCAGAGTTGCCCTGCCTGCTGTTGGGGGGGAGGGGATGGGCTCAGTGAAAACCGGTTTTTTGGGGCTTTTGTTCTCTGACGGCTTTCCCTGGCGGTTTTCTGCATCTCTTCCAAGAGTCAGAGCAGAAGAGATCGTTTCCAACCCTCTGCCTCAGAGTGGAGAGATCACAGTCTGTTCATCAGTGAGCTCTCCAGGCCACACTATCTCTGTTTCTGTCTGTGCTGCTATAAACTGCAGCATCCTGGGTTGTGCACCCTTCAGCAGGCCTCCTAGTCCTCACCTCTAGGTCAGGACCCATGTCTGCCCTTTGTGCTTCTACAACTGCCAGCTGCCACCAGTTTGCACATGCGCGGCCCCGCCGCTCTGGGTTTCCGTCTGGGGTACTGCCCTAAAGTCCTTTCCCCATTGCTACCAGTCTGTGAGTCTGTACCCCGTCCCCAGTGCGGAGGCTTTTGACTCCTTTGTTATTTCACCTTCCCGGCGCCAGCGCTTATGGCAGCTCCCTCTCCTTTCCATTTATCTTCCAATATCTGCCCGCGGAATCACGGCTCCCTGCTTCATACCTCGAAACCAACCACCTGCAATATTCTGTTTTTAGAGTTCCAGATCTATCTTCTTACATCTCAGGCTGATTTCGGGGGTGTTCAGAGTGGTCTGGTAGATACCAAGATCAATTCCGGGGACTGGTTGGAGTAGGGTCCCCTACTCCTCCTCAATCTTTTCCTCCTTAATTGTGCATTTCTAACAAGCTCCCAAGTATTGCTGATGGTGCTTATCCAAGATCCACACTTGTGGAGTAGTTAGGAGCTAGCCAGTCATGTCACTACTTAAAGAGCTTTGTAATCCATCTGGGGTTCCTATTTTATTACTTCTATCATATGGTTCAACTCTTAAAACAAATGTGTATGTTCTTTATTATTCACATTTGTGGTAATACATTCAACATGCATTCAACAAGAATATTTTTAAAAACTCAGAAAATACAAAACTTGGTATCAAATGATTTGGGAAAAAAAGACAGGTTATATAACCCAGGCCTGTAAGTGACTTTATAAAAATCAAATATAAGAGGTTTTTTGTTTTTTTTTTTAAGTAGATTTTTAAAATGTTGATTAGAGACCTGTGAATATTCTTGATTGCTACTGCAGTGGATCAACTTTACTGTAGACAAACCCACAGCACCTTCACTTATAGAGTTCAAATTGCAAATATTTGAATTTCAATCTGACCTCCGTGAATATAAGGCACATAATGCAATTTACCTGATATCCACGGACAAGGGTAGTCTGTAACTCTTTTAAAATATACTGTAGGTAGTGCACACCTAGATCTTCTATTATTTTTGTGAGAGTGCTGCGTGCAATGTCTCTGATTTCCTGTGCTCTGTTCTTGAGGAGGGCACACACTTTCAACAAAATACTAGAAAATGAAAAGTTGAAAAGGACTAATCAAAATACAGAAGCAAATAAAAATACAAACATCCTTTTGTCTGTTAATTATCCAGTAACCCAAATTTCCCAGTTAAGATTCGAAATCACAGCATATTGTGACAGTACTTCTCTTCCTCACAAAAGAGATTCAAGAGTCAGGAAGAAAGAACTGATTTTTGAATTTCACTGAACTTTTCTAATTTGTTACACAATATACCTTGGCAGATTAGCTTCCATAACTTCTTGTGGAAGGGACTGCATTAGTTTAACCATGGCAAAAGCTAAAGGAACTCGAACTACTTCCTCATCATTCACAACCTTGGATTTTATGAGCTTGTGTTCTTCTTCCCTTTTAGTCTGTTAAGAAAAATTTAGGTTAAATTAAAACAAAAATAAATGGATCAGGGACCTACAAACATTGCAACCTTGCATTTGAAAGGTAAGCTCTTTTGATACATCTTATGACCATTTCCAAATTTACTGTCTTAAAATGAAACTAAATTACGCAATTTGAGAATAACCTTCTAAAAATCATAAAACTAGTAGGAATAAGGTTTTTTCCAAAGGAGAAACCAGAAAAAAATAAAGCCAAATTTTCACTGATGTAGATTAAGACTGCTGTGAAATATATAAAAATCGTAAGAAATCTCTATCAATTGGGATTTTCAAGACTTTGAGTGACACTGTTGGTATATAAGAAATAGAGTGCCTCAAATAAGAAGTTATATTTACAAATATACCAAATGATCAAGTAATATTTTACACCAGGGGCTGGCAAACTTCTGTAGAGGGTCAGATAGTAAGTGTTTTTGGCTTTATGATCTCTCTTGAAGCTACTCAACTCTGCTGTGGTAACATAAAAGCTAAATTAGACAGTATGTAAAACAATGAGTGTGACTGTGTTCCAATAAAACTTCATTTACAACAACAGGCTGCAGGCTAGATCCCGCCCATGGGCCACAGTTTGCCAATCAATGTTTTACAATGAGAAGGAAAGGCTCTGACTTCATGAGAATCCATTGCTAAATATTATCCCTGTTAACCAGGAAGAAGATGAATTTTGAACAGCAGAGAAGTGGCCAAGATGTTGAAAAGGAAAACATACTCTAATTTTTTAAAACTTTTTCTTTTTTGGAAATAAGAGTCATCTAATTAACTGCTTTGGAGATAGAAAGCATATGTCTATCATATGAAAACCATAATGAAGAAACATTAGCTGCAGCAAATGAACCTAAAGATGATGAGACAAATGAAGGGAGGTAAAACTGTGAAATGTTGAGGTAAAAGAAAATCCAAAAGCTGAAGTCAATCAATGATAGTTAGGAGCCTCAGTCTGACAGGGCCACACAAACACCCGGGTTCACACAGACATCCTGCACCCCAAACAGAATGATTACCGTAGATGCCAGGCATTTATGTAGCCGGGGAAGGATATCCCCAGTTATGGTTCCTTGGATATTTTTAATTGTTCTCTCCAATTCTTCCTTATTCCGAGGAAGGAAAGAGATGGACTCCGTGATACACTCAGGTTCTCTAGCTGATGTCCCTTCACAATCAGCTGGATCAGGATTTCCCAATTCTTGGCTATTGTCTGACAAACTCTTACATTTGTTTTCCTTCTCTTCCTCATCCATTTGCTCTAATTCCATGGTTTCATGCTCTGGCAACTCAATCACTTCTATTGTGTCTATGTTTAGTAAACAACAAAAGTCACCTTAAATCAAATAAGGAAACAACACAGTTGCATTACGTAGTCTTTCCCACCAACATCCAATAAAAACTAGTCATCACTATGGGTAGGCAAGGTAAGTGCTGAGGAAACAGCACTAAATGAGAAGGTTATGGTTTTTTGCTGTCTTACAGTTTGGAGCCTAATGACGAACAGAGACAAGTAAACTCACAATTATGAGGGTGGGAGAGCAAGTACAGGGTACTTTGGGAATATACTAGGAGGCTAGGCCGGGAGGAGGGTCTTAACCAAAAGAAAGCTTCTAAAGTACTGTGGTTGGAGGTTTCCAAAAACAAAAATCTATACTCATGAGCATGAAATGAATCATAATGGCAGCCAACAGTTGTCATGTGGAAATGTCCCTTACTATAGGGTCCAGTTTATAAAAGAAAATCAGGCAGTACAGTACTGTGGGGAAAGTCCAGGCTTGGCTCTGCTCATAAGCCACGTGACCAGAGTAGGCTCTGGATTCTTTATCGGTAAGCTGGAGATGGCACCTACTTTGCAAGGCTATTGTGAGGATTAAATGAGATAAAGTCCATAATGCACCCAAAATATGTTTCTGACACTTCACTGACTTTCAAAAATGGTAGCTATTAGTCTTTATTTTGTTTACTGGCCATGTAGCTTTGGGAAAGTTACTTTACACTTCTGAACTGTAATTTCTCATATCAAAAATAATGGGGTAACTAACAACTAAGGTTCTTGTAAGATTCTTATGAGAACAAATAAGATAATGTCTATATAAAGGCCCAGGTCATAGAAGGTGCTCAATAAATGTTTCAAACTTCAGTCATATCTAAGAAGAAATGAGATAGTTAAGCAAATTAAGTATCTTAATTTTTAATGTTTCTGTTTATGCAAAATTGCAAAATGCAGATTCCACTGCCTGAAGATAAACTGTTGAGGGGCTGTAGTACATTAATAGTTTAAAACATACATAGTTCCTACAAATTCAAGCCAGTCTTTGCTATTAGTGTGGCTCTACAGTGATTTTACTGTGAATCAAAGAATTAGAAAATTTTGAATAGGAAGGAATGTTGGAGTAGTGCAAACTGAGGGCCAGAATATTTCAATGTCTTTAGCAAAAACAATCAGCCTATTGATTGGCCCATTTAAGTGTTCATTCTTTTCTTTTAATAGGTTAAGGAAATTTCTAATTATTCCTTATTTGATATCAACAGATACTGAATCTAATCAAATGTTTCCCTTGTGTCTCTTTAGATGACCACATGTTTTTTGCATGCTAATATGTTAAATTCCATTAACCAAGTATACCAACTTCATGAGTTAGTGGAAGCTCTCTCTATCAATCATCTGAAATGGCAAGCATAAGGTTGAAATTCCTTAAATATTTGTAGAACTTGCCTATAAAACAGTGTGAACCTGGTATTTTCATCAAGAGAAGGTTTTTAAACTACAGTCAATTTCTTTAGTGGTTAGAGATACACCCAGATTTTCTATTTCTTCTAAAGCCAGTTTTGTATTTTATTTTTCTAAGAATTTGTATGTCTCACTCAAGTATTCAAATTTATAACAACAAAGATCATAACATTATTTTACCTTTTTCATTTAATTGTGACCTTTTAAAATTCATGTTTATTATGCCTTCTATTTTTACTGACCAATTTTGACAGAGCTTTGCCAATTTATAATCTTTTCAAATATCTAAAATTATTTTTACCTTTGATGATCCTTTCTTATTGTATCTACTTTATATTTCATCAATTGTTGCTCTACTTTTTAAATATTTCCTTATACTTTCTTTGCATTCATTGCTTAATGTTCTTTCCATACATGCAGGTGGTAAAATTGGATTTCTATATAAATAATCTACAGCTCAGATTTTTTACCCATATAATTTAGATTGGCCTTCTCTATTGTTAAATAAGTTTTTACACAAATACTCAAACCATCTGCTTTAACTTCCTCCTGACTTATTCACTGGTCACTGCTCTACGAGCAGAAAAGAGTGGTAAGCTGAATTTTGCCATCTTTAATTCATCATCATCAATTATCCAAGAACGGAATGGAAATTTAGTTTAAGAAAGTTTCAAAAACTTACTTTCATCATTCTGGATTTTTCTCACTTGTTCTTCAAGAGTTTTATGGTCAAAGTGGAATGCTTCTAACACTATTACTAGCAAACTGTTAAAAAAAGAAGGTACACAGAAATGTTTGCTTGATTCACAACATCATTTGATGATTAAAAGTAAACATTTAAAGACTTACAAACATTAATATTATTTTTACTAGTTTTAGTTATTTTTGATGTTAACAAACATTAACATAACCTCAATACAAGGTAAAAGTAAACTGAGATGAGCGAGACTACTTCAAGAAATAATCCAAAACTGACATTTTAAGAACAAAGAAGTTTGACCATACATACCTGACACCCAACTTTTGATTGATCTGTCCTGTCTGTAAAACATGAATGAAATGTTTCAAGTAATAGATATATGCTGACCAAGAGAGATGTCTGCAAATAGCTCCAATAACTTCTGTGGCAGCAACGGTTATATTTTCATGCTGTAAAACAAATCAAGAGCATCAACATAGAATTACATTTACTAACAAAATACAGAGCTAATTTCATACTTTAAAAAGCTTAGACAGTAGGTGATCAGCAATTACAGAAAGGAAGGGATGACCAAGCTATACTCCATTCCCCCCCCCACCTAGCTTTAAGAAAAGACACTGTCAATTAAAGGAACGAAACTGTACTTTAATTAAATGGTATTAATACACTTTGGGCTTTTTTTCCACTCAGACCTCTCTGATGGGTTCAAGCCTACAGACTGTGAATGAAGTAAATTCATATATAAAAGTTGACAAACACTAAAGTTAACTTTAACACACAGTTTAGCATTCAACAGTACACTGCATTGGAGACATCTCTTTCATGCCAATATAGAGAACAGGGATTGGATTTACCCTCATACCTTAAACTAGACAAGTAGACAAAAATATATGAAATAGCAGTTTTCAGACTTTGGACATCAAACAGTACAGTTCAGTGCTCCCTGAGACTATGGCAACAAATGAAGTGTGTCTTATAATTGCCCTAATTCACAGTGTCACAGCACAGGAGGAGAAACCCAAAAAGGGCCCAGTGGTCTCCCTGATGTAAGGAGACAGAGTTGAGGCTATAGCAGCTAGAGTCCACAGGGCAAAGCACCAGACAGGAGACAGCTATACAGAGAGGTAAGCTGCACAGGCATACAAAGAAGCAGAAAAATACCTCTCACAAGAAGAAAAATCAACCAGTTGAAAGAGACCCCAAAATGACACAGATGATAGACTTATAGTAGACAAAGGCAGTAAGACGAATGATAAAATTACATTCTATAAGGTCAAGAAGGGAGAGGAAAGCAAGGACATGTTAAGGAGAGAGAAGTGAGATATAAAAAAGGCCCAAACTGAACGTCTAGAAATGGAAAAGACAGTTCTGGGAGGGAAGACACACTGGATGGGATTAAAAGCAGATCAGACTCTGAAGAAGAAAAGTAGTAAACTTGAAGACACAGTAATACAAAAATGAAACAAAATGAAACCCAGAAAAAAAAAGTAATGAAAAAAAAAAAAAAAGAGAGTCTCAGTGTGTTTGAAACAACTTTGAGCGGCCTAATATATACTGGGGTCTCCAAAAGCAAGAAGGGGACCCAAAAGTATCCTTGAAGAAATAACGGCCAAAAATTTATAAATTTGAAAAACACTACAACTCAATAGATCCAAGAAGCTCAACAAACCCCAAACATAAGAAACATGAAGGAAACTACACTAAGGCACACTGTAATCAAATGGCTTAAAACCAGTGATAGAGAAAATCTTCAAGGCAGTCAGAAAAAAAAAAAAAAGATACATTACACTCAGAGTAATAAAGACAGGAATGACTTCTTTTTGGAAATGATATAAACCAGAAGACAAAAGAGCAATTATCTTTAAAGACCAGAAAGAAAAACCTGTTAATCTAGAATTCCACACCTAGAAACATTACCTATAAAAGCAAAAATGAGAAAAGACAAATAAGAACTGAAAGAATTCAACACCAGTTGTGCTACAAAAAATCTGAAGGAGGTCTTCCTTCCTATAAGGAGTAAAATGATACAGGAATATGTCTGGATCTACCCAAAGGAATGACTAGAAAATTGTAATTAATCAGAAGTGACCAGAAATTATAAATATGTAAGAAAATATAAAAGATCTTTCCTTACTTTGGAAGATTTCTTTTTTTTTTTTTTTTT